TCCCTTCCAACCCAACCATCCTATGGCTCTATGATCTTGTAGGTCCCTTCCAACCTGACAATTCTGTGTTTCTATGATTACTGACATTAGCTTGCATTAACCCACATAGAGCATCAGGTCTCAGGCATTTAGTTCTCACAGAGGTGAATATGAAACTTGACTGCATTCCCATGATTTTCCTTGTGAGCTGTCACAGAGCACGCAATATATTTTTCTGTTTCTCTATTTCTTGTCATTTTGAAGTACAGATACACTGCAAACCCAAGATAACTGTTAAATCCAAACAAAAGCATGGGATGGAGAATTTCAGTATTAATTTTGAAGGAGGAAAAACAGTTTGAACACTCCAGTATTTCCCACTTACTGTTTCTGTACGAAGGGCTGGAACTGGATGATCTTTAAGGTCCCTTCCAGCTTATGTCCTTCTACAGCTCTATAGCCATTATAGAACTACACAAAGATAACCAGTACATTTATGGGCTTAGCAAACATTGTACATTTGTAATTCTCCTCTAAGAGATCATCTGTGGACAGTTCTTGAAGTGTTTCATCTGAAAGCTCAAGTAAGGCATCCATGCACAGTGTTAACAACGGGGAATGTCCCTGGGGTTTTCCCTACCCTGACTTCTGTGGCCTTTCTGTGTCGTGCAGCCTGGAGCTTAGAGGCATGGAAATGTGGAGCATCCCTCCCCAGCCCTTCATTCAAACCGTGTAGGAGTGGAATCAGCTTTTGCCTGAAATCCTGTTGATATTAAGTTGAATTTTAAGGTCTAGTGAATTTTCTGCTCTCAGTGAAGTTGACAAATGAAACTTTCATTCTTATCTCTGCTTTAATACACATTTGGCCAAGGTCCTATCTGTGTTCAAGGATTCACCTTCTAGACTTAGCACATGAGCAAAATAAACCTATTTATTTCATGCTTTTTGCTGTCAGACTCTTTGAAGAGGCAGTCAGTGAGCTGCTGGCTGTGACAGAACCTGTCTGTTTCCAGGTCACAGATGCAAAGAGCCCGGATAAGAGGACCTCGCTCTCAAAGCCTCCATCATCTGCTGCTCCTCGTGCTGCTGCCCGGAGCACCGCTGCCACTCCTCGGACAACAGCCACCTCCCCTGTGACTGCAGCTGCTGGGGCGAAGAGCACCACTGCCTCCCCACCCAAGAGGCCAACATGTAAGCATGCCCTCCTTTGTTTCCAGCAGGTCTCTTTCTATCCAACTGCTGGTTTTTGGTTGAGTAGCACCAGCAGTTCACGCAAAGGGATGTGTCCATCGTGTCGCTGTGTTCAGTAGTCGTTGTGTGGTCATCACCCTGTGACTCCCAGTTGATTAAAATTAGTCTCTTAATAAGCAAGCAAGGTTGATTCGTGGTTAATGCAACTACTGAGCATGTTTGATTTATGAGTGAGGACTCAGCTGCTGTCTGGTCTGTCTCCAGCTGGAGTCTGGTGGCTTTTCCCCTTGACCAATGCTTGGAGAGCTTGCAGATCACATCAGCTTCACCCAAAACCTGTGTCCACCCAGGGCACTGCTGCCACGAGGGAACTTCCCCTGAGTTTAACGCAGCCAACACAGCAGCACGTTGGCCTCCTGAAAGCATTATTTTCACCCATCTCAGTAGTTTGAGAGATTGAACTTCAGATGAAAAGGTATTGCAATGTTCTCACGTGGTTGGACCTCATCATCACTTATCAGAATGCCGTGGAATCATAGGATGCCTTGGGTTGGTTCCAACCTGAGATTAGCCAGTGAACTTTTAAAAACCAATGCACATTAGCTGCTTTGCTCTATGAGTCCCAGAGCACGAATTCATAACCTGCATTTCCTGTAGGAGTAATGGTGTTATAACTGTGCTGAAATGTATTACACTAGATGTGCATCCCACGCTTTTTTTTGCTCAGGGGGAAAGTGTAATTAATCCTGTGCAGAGGAAGTGTTGCACTTTGCAAGAGCTGTGTGCCATAACTCATCCTGTGGACGTTCTGTTAGAATTCCTTTTGTTTGCTCTGTTATGCAAACTGCAGCATAGAATGCTTGACACATTTTAATGAGTTCAGCTGAGTTAATTCCTCCTTCCAAAACTGAGATGCAAACAAAGGAGAAGTGTCATCTGCTGACATCTGAAAGGAGATGGAGGCACTGATGCAGAGACAGAGGGAAGCTGTTCCAAGTGACAAGATGTGCAGTGGAAGGGGCTCCTGTGCTATTGAGGGTGTGGGACATGGCCAGTGTACAGAGGGGAAAGCGGGACGGTGGTGGAGACGTGAGGGCAGCTGGAGGGGCTCCACCAGGAACTGAAGCTGTCCTGGGTCTGGAATGCAGAAGGGAGGCAGGGTTGGTGGAAGAGCCCCATCCCTGGAGGTGCTCGAGGCCAGGTTGCATGGGGCCCTGGGCTGCTCCTCTGCTGTTTGGCTCGAGGTTGGCAGCCCTGCCTGCAGCCTTGGGTTGGAAGAAGGGGGTCTTTGAGGTCCCTTCCAACCCAGCCACCCTGTGACCCTACGAAAGAAGGAAGGCTTCTTTTGGAAGGGGACAGAGCGATGGTGCAGTGAAGGGTGAATGGTGCTGTGAAGCCTTGAGCCACTGCAGCTCAGGCAGAGCAGATGCAGCTCCAGCAGGGTCCAGTGGAGAGGATGGAGAGCTGGCTGTCATCACAGCGTAGCATTAAGCCAGAGAGTAACTTGCTGGCTGAAGATGACATTTCAGAAGGACATCTGCTCTTGATTTTCACACCTTAGAAGCCACATCCCAGCTTGCCCAAATGTTTTATCATTCTCACTGTATGAACGTGTGGATGGTGGCTTCTTTGGAAGTTGCATGGCATCGCTTTGGGTGCTGGCAGTCAGTCTCCTACCAGAGAAGAGGTCTGAGTTCTGTTCAGTGCTTGGCCCACCATTACAGACCATTTTCCCACTACTGGGTTTTCAGCATCACGTGCTGCTGATGTGAGTGGGCTTCCAGCACCTGGTCCTTGCTGACAGGAGCAGAAATAATCACAGCTCTTTATGTGTTTGCTCCTCACACCTTTATACTGGGCTGCCCCTGCCCTGCTGCCAGCAATCCTAGTCCTGGGGTCTGGAAGAGGGAGATGCATTTGGTTCAAGAGGACCTTGTTATGTGATTGGCTTTAATTAGCTATCTGTCCTCAAGGCCTTATTAAATTATTCTGGTGTGTTTCATCTCATTAGCTTGTGTCTTATCTGTGGTGTTTAACTGAGAGTTTTTAGCAAAGTCTGGATGGAGCGATCAGGATGACCTGACCTGTCATTACCTGCCCCTTTTTTCTGTGCTGATGTGCCATGAAATTCCCCCCCAGCCCCTGGAGAGTACCAAAAAACCTAAGACTGTTACAGGAAATGAAGCATTATCATTATCAACTCCTTCAAATAAGGTTCTGTTTGTGTATTTCAGTCCATTTTTACCTTGATGGTAAAAAAATGTGCATGGTTTTGTTCTGCTTTGAGAAAAGATGTGTTCCTGGTTTAGTGACCTCTGCCTGGGTGGGATGGAATCAGGTCAGCATCGCTGGGCTTTGCCCAAAGGCACATTTTCACTTTAGTGATTGATTTTATTTTTATGCAGTTATAACAGGCACCAAAATGTGCAATAACCTCTGTGCAAGGAAATTGGCATTGGTTAACATTGATCCACCAGTGACACCAAGGTTATGGGTGGACAAGCGTTTGTTTTTGCTGTTAGTTAAAGAAAGGCTTTTGAAAGCAATGAAACTGGGGTAATGTTGGAGTGAGTGCCATCAGATTCTGGAAGTTATTTTAAGAATAGAAGCAGTGTGTGGTGACCTGTGGGGGAGGCTGTGCTGCTCACCTGCACTCGTTGGCTTTCCCCACTGAAGTATCATAGAATCATAGATTCATAGAATGGCCTGGGTTGCAAAGGAGCACGATGCTCATCTGCTCCAACCCCTGCTGTGTGCAGGTCACCAACCAGCAGCCCAGGCTGCCCAGAGCCACATCCAGCCTGGCCTTGAATGCCTGCAGGGATGGGGCATCCACAGCCTCCTTGGGCAACCTGTTCCAGTGCCTCACCACCCTCTGGGGGAAAAACTTCCTCCTCATATCCAACCTAAACCTCCCCTGTCTCAGTTTAAGACCATTCCCCCTTGTCCTATCAGTGCTAACCACACGTTCTGCCTTGGGCAGCCATCAAGACCGATGCAAAGCCTGCAGATGCCAAGAAGGCCACAGCGAAGTCCCCGTCAGGTAACTCTGCTGTTTCCATCTACTCGAATCCTTTGTTTGCAGCCGCTCTGTGCCTTTGTGGCCGTGCCATCTGACCCCCCCTCCTTCCCCATCATCCCTCCGATGTCCCTGTGCTCATTGCAGCAGACCTGGCCCGCCCTAAGAGCGCTGCTGGAAGCACTGTCAAGAGCAGTTCCACCACCACCACCACCACCACCAGCACCACCAGCACCACAGCCGTGCCCGGCGCCGCCGCCAGCCGCCCCAAACCCAAACCTGCAGCAGCCAAACCCACTGCCGCCTCCAGCGCCACTGCGGATGCAAAGAAACCACCTGCAAAGGCTGCAACCAAACCCAGCGCTGCCCCCAAAGCGCTGCGCCCCACCAGCAGTGCTGCTGCTCCAGACCTGAAAAACGTCCGTTCCAAAATCGGCTCGACGGATAACATCAAGCACCAGCCTGGAGGAGGAAAGGTACGTTTCTTCCGACTTGAGAACTGTGTGCTCTCTGAAACTGGAGCTCTGAAGCATTTCTGGGTGCTCGTTGCTGGTGTTGGTGGCTGTATCCTCGCTGCTCTTCTCGTGTTTTTGCCCTGCAGAGCTCCTCTTTGGGTTCTTGGTTTGTGCACAAGGCATTAACAAAGCAGTGAGAGTGGTGTACAGAAGGAATCCACCAGAAAAGCCTTCCTGGCACACGTACAGGAATTCACAGTGTTGTGGTTCCGTGTTTGCTGTACATCCTGACAGAAAGTAGTTGGTTTGCGGAGCTTCAACCTTGTCTGTGTTCCAAAATGTTGCCTTTGGAAAGAGGATTTGAGTCTGCCGGGTGGTACAGGGGTGAAGTAACGCGCTGTGATGCAGGAAATCTGGATTCAGGAGCAAGACCCACAGATCCTTCCCCAGGTGTAGGAGCAGGGACCGTGGTCAACGTGTCGGACCTAAAGCTGAAGTTAATCTGCATCTATTGCTCTTAGGTAGAACCACAGAATCATTATGGTTGGAAAAGACCTGTAAGGTCATCAGGTCCAGCCATCAACCCATGCCCACTAAGCCATGTCCCTAAAGGTGGGGACTTCCAGCTTTCCCAGTGAAGGACACCTGTACCCACAGCAATTCAAGGAACGTGCTGTGAGCTCTGTTGGCAGAGCTTTTGGGGTCCCACCAGCATGGTCACTGGTTAAGGATGGGATGCAAGTTCTCCATGTGCAGCTGCAGCCCACAAGGTCATAGAATCATGGAGTAGTGAAGGTTGGAAAAGATCACCAGGCCCAAGCATCAACCCTTCCCACCATGACCCCAAGTGCCACTTCTGCCCTTTGGATGATTTATGGTGGCCACAATAAAAGAAGTGTTGGATGAGCTGTAGGGAGAAGTGCGTGCACAGATAACACTTGAGGCTCTCCATCAGTAATGGGCTTAAATTGCATTTTCACTGCCATGTCAATGGTGCAGGTTTGGGGATGTGCCTGTAGCCCTCTTGTAATCGTTTTGTGGATATCCTTCATGCTAAAATCCTTATTGGATGTTGTCCAGCAGGTACAGCCATCACTGCCCAGCAGAACGAGTCAGCAGCTTGCCTATAGTCAGAGGGCTTCAGATTCCACAAAGTGGAGCAAATTCACCCACTTACCTTTGCTGCAGCTCTGCTGGAATGAATGCCCAACCCACAGCTTCCACCTGACGCCAAGGGAGCGCAGTTGGTGCTGGGAGCCCAAATCTCATCTTTGGCACATGGAAGTCAGGGTGTTCTTTTGTGGGGTTGTGTGCCACAGGGAGCATCCAAGTGTGCATGGAATTAGCCTGCAGTTATGAGTGGGCTGTGCTCTATCACAGCGTGGTCCCCTGGGCTTGGAGGTGTGGGAGATAAACGTTCGCTCCCCAAAACAGTTTCTGGAAGTGACAGCAAGAAGAACTGCAGAACTTTGAGGCGAGCAGAATTGAGACCCTTCCCAGCACAACACACTGCAAATTGAAACCAAACTGATGTTCAGAAATGCTCCTGGTATCTGCTCAGAAAGGACACGTATGGCTGCTCTGTGGTTTAGACCATGGTGGGGTCTGGAGGTTGCAGTGCTCTGTGCCTTGCAGGGTTACTGTGTCGGTTCAAGGGATGTGTTTTCACATTCTGTTTGACTGCCCTTTACTTTGTTGCCGTTTTCATAGAGGTGCTACATTTGATTTTGAGGAAAGCTGTCTTTTTTGTACCCTTCCTTATGCTGGATGCTTCCAGGGCATCAAAACGCCTCAGTGCTGAGTGCTGAGGCTTTGCTTCCTGGTGGGTCGGGGAAGGCAGGATCCCTGCTGACAAACTGCTCTGCTCACCTGGATCCAGAGCAGCAGACGAGTGGATATTCTCAGGCAGTTGGTGTATTTTTCTATTATTGTACCTTTTTATTCCATCTTCTGTTTAATGGGATTAGCTACAATCACCTGGGTTAAGCTGCAAAATTACATCAGCTCTTCATTCCCAAGCCTGAGTCCAGGCAGTGTGGGGCTGAAAAACCCGAATGGGAGCGCAGCTGTGCATGGGGGTGGAAGCTCCAAGCAAAGCAGATGTGCCAGCAGTGTGTATCCCCCAGGTCTGCACGGTGCCCTCCATGGGAAGGAGGTGGTCCTGTGCTGCTGTTGGCTTAACCCAAGGTTGGGGTCGGTGCTTTCAGTGTGTGATGGTGCCCTCTTGGACTCCCGGCCACGGTGCTGGGCCCCAGCTGTGTTGCTCAGGTCTCTGGGGTTGGCAGCTGTGCTGTGTGGATGGGGAGCTGGGATTCCCGTGCCTTCCTGCCCGTGCCTTTGCTGTTGCTGGTTGAAACCATCCATTTGTCTCCATCTAGGGGAAGGTAGAGAAAAAGCCAGAATCAACCGCTGCTGCCCGAAAGTCTGAGCCCAATGCGGTCCCTAAAATGGCTCCAACTAAAACAACCGTAACAAAAGAGGGTGTCCCCAAACAGCCCAATGGGAAAGTGAGTTCCTTTCAGACTTTTCTCTGTGGGAGATGAAGGCCAACATTTCCATTTTGAGTCACTTTCCCTTCTCTTCAGCTCTCCTGCTTTCTCCTGTCAGTGTCACTGTCCCTTGCACAACACTTCTCCGGCTCTTCCCTGGGATGTGCTCAGTAAAACACGTGGAGATCACGGTGGTAATGATGCCTCTGCATTCCGTGAGCATTTTCCAAGCAGAGTTCTCCATTTGCACTTGTAGCCTTAATTTTGAGTCGGAAGAGCCTCAGCACCACTTTTCCCTTAAGGCCACTTTTCCTACACGGCGCTCATTTGGAACCAGGGCGAGAGCTGCAGCTCAGTGCCGTGCATCGCTGTGGATGTTGCAGAGCATGAAGGGCTCTTCCCTCCAGTGTTCCCATCCACCTCCTGGGAGCAGCCTGGTGTGTTGGGCAGCCACCGCTGCCCCAGCTCAGATGGATTCAGGGAGAGCCTGTAAGGAGCAGCCAGGGTTTGTGCTCCGTGGAAGGCAGTAAACCTACATGAGCTCAATGGCCAAAGTGCATTTTTCAGACAGGGTTGCACTGAATCCAGTCTTTCTGAACGGGACGAGTTGCTGGTGGAAACCTGTTACAGTGAGAGTGTTCCGGTGCTTCCTTTTGTGCTTTGGGTTCATCACCTCTTTCCAGCAAGTGCTTGGGGTTCAGCTTTTGCCACGGGGAGCGCTGCTCGCTGTCACTAACCCTACAGACACGTGGATCTGGCGCTCTGACTCAGTTAATTAACCCCTGGGAATCAAAGGCAGCCCGTGTATGCACTGCTTTGGGATTTGGTAAAAAATAAAAATAAAAAATAAGAATAAACAGTCCTGATAGTTTAAGGGGAAACAGTGCATCTCTTTAATGACCGTAAGGCTTGTCAGATCAACGGGAAGGAGGTTGTGCAGCCTTCAGTGGGATGTGGGGTCTCTCAGCCCAGGCTTTATGCCCACGGCTGCTGGAGGACATCCCCAGCCCTGCAGGCAGGAGTGTGAGCACAGCCCCGCTCCGCTCTGCTGGACACGGCAGCCCATGGCTCCCCTGGGCGACCTTTGAGGCCCTTCCACCCCCACCTCCTCGGGCAGTGCCACGCTCTCACACTAACACTGTGCAGCTCTTGTTCCATCCACGTCTTCACTTCTCTCTCGCTCTCCTCTCCGTTGCTTCCATCCCCTGTTTCTGCAGTTGCTGTGAGTTTAACACAGCCCCGTGTTTGTCGCCGTTCGGAGCATCCTCTCCAGCCACAACGCTAACCGGTCCTCTCCCTTGTGTTGTTTTCCATTCTGTAACATTCCAGGTCCAGATAGTCTCCAAAAAAGCGAACTACAGCCATGTTCAGTCCAAGTGTGGTTCCAAGGACAATATTAAGCATGTCCCTGGAGGTGGGAATGTAAGTATGGACTCTGGGCAAGCTGTCTTTCTACTAACTCCTGCTCGTGTACTGTGTTGTTGTGTGTCGGTCCATGGATGCTCTGTTCCTGCAGAACGGTGTGGCAGAATTTCAGGGCTCGTGCAAACAGCGTGGGCTGGAGACCCGCATTGGCCATGGGTGCTGCTGTGGGTGGGTGCTGCTGCAGGCTGACAGCTGCAGCTCCTGACCTCTTTCTCGCCTCGTTTACGCGGTATTAATTGAGCAAATGGAGATGTGCTCAATGCTGACCCCGGGAGTTGGTGCACTGTGGATTCCCTCTGCAGTCAGTGGAGGCCCATCAGTCCCCGGCCTGCTTCTGCTGTCTGATGTGAGATGAGATGAGGTGTGCTGAGTCAGATTCGTTTCCCTCTGTGTCTCACAAGAAAGGAGACTTCAGCAGAGGAGGGGAAGGCTGGGAGTCAGCCTTGGAGCTGCAATTAGCTTCTGAAAGCAGAGGCTGCTGTAAAAGCTGCTGGTGTCTCTGGCAGCAGAGCTGAGCTTGTTGAGTGCAGAGCTCACCTGGTGGTGTCCATGTGCTTGGTTTGCTGGGCTGTATCCTGAAAGCATCTGGCAAAAGAAGACAAGGTAACTACAAAACTACACAGGTGCTAAATCATAGACTCATAGAACGGCCTGGGTTGCAAAGGAGCACAGTGCTCACCTCATTCCAACCCCTGCTGTGTGCAGGTCACCAACCAGCAGCCCAGGCTGCCCAGAGCCGCATCCAGCCTGGCCTCGAATGCCTGCAGGGATGTGGTGGTAGCCTGGCAGACAGGCAGTGCTGACCTGCTGTACTCATTTTGGTGGTTTTGGTGGATGGTTCCAAAAAGACACCGAAGTGTTGAGCACAAAGGTCTCTCTCTGTTGGTGTGTATGGATGCTGGGCTGAGGAGCAGTGCCAGCACATCCCGTGGCGCCCGGTGGCTGTGGAACTGCAGGTGTCTCTGCGTTGTGTTGGCACTCAGTGCTGGGTTCTGTTGGACACCAGGCTCAGCAGTCCCAGCCCTGAGGTTGGTGCTGACGCCGCTGCTTCAGGGAGCACAGTGTGTGTGGATGGGGCTGAGCACTGCTGCAGCACCAGTTAGAATCACAGAAAGGAGCACGATGCTCATCCATCTCCAACCCCCTGCTGTGTGCAGGTTGCCAACCAGCAGCCCAGGCTGCCCAGAGCCACATCCAGCCTGGCCTTGAATGCCTGCAGGGATTCCTTCCTGTTTCCATCACATCTGACAGAAATACAGCAACACAAGGATGAATTTCCTGGGCAGAGCCTTTCTTATGCTCTGCTTTAGTGTTTTTCCCCCTCCTCCTTTTAAGGAAAGCAACAGTAAAGGCAGAGATTTTCCACCATGCAGGTAGAGTGGGTATTGCTGCAGGTTTAATCAGATGATTTGGAGTTTGCACGTTGTTTCCCTACCCTTTGGCTGTAGCTCCAGAGCTGGATGAGGTGATGGTCAGAGATGGAAAACGTACCAAGAGATGAGGGTCACCTTCCTACCAGAACCTCTGCACGGAGCACTGGAGGCTCAGCTGTACTTGGCAGTGGGCTCTGAGTGTTTGGCTCTGCAGGTGCCAGCCCTGCTCTTCTCCCATTGTGATCTGAACGCAGCGACTCGTGTTAGAGTTGTTACACTTCCACTGAGGTAGAACTGTTTGGATCCCCAGGAGATGGCAGATGACTGCATGGAATGAAAGACATAGGGGCTGACTTTGGAGCAGGGGGGCCTTTCACCCACCTGGAGCTGCAGGGAGGAGCCTTAAGCCACATGCAGGGCTACCAACCTCCACGTTTAATGCTAAACCAGGCTGCCCAGGGCCCCATCAACCTGGCCTTGAACACCTCCAAGGATGGGGCATCCACAACCTCTCTGGGCAGCCTGTTCCCATGAACCCATGGTCAGAGAAGAGATGTTTTTAAAGCAGAAGGACCCCAAACCAGTGACTCCTCACCTGCACCACTGTGCTAACAGAGAGAAGATGCTTTGCCCCAAATTCAAACCGATGTCTGTAAGAGCTGTGTTGGAACATTTGGCTCATTATTGGTTTTGAAGATGGTTTGCTGAGCATGAATGTGTCACGATCTTATGGTTGCATCACCTCGATGTTTTTTTCCTGAGAGATTTTCTCTGCCGGTCTCAGATCCCTGATAGAGTGAGGTTCAGCAGTGATGGGAAGCAGCTCCCCCGCACTGCTTGTCTCTGAGGGCAGCTTGTTCTCTCCAGCTGTTCCATCTGGGCACGATCATTGAACCGCAGAACCATTGCAGTTGGAGAAGCTGAGATCGCTGAGCAGACGGGATGGGGGACGTGGCAATGAGAGCAGCTCCTCTCTGTCCCTCTGCCACGGATGTGCCATGAGCACAAAGCATTGCTGGTTCTTGTCCATGTGTCAGCTTTGACCTGCCTTCAGTTTCTCTCTGCTCACATTAACTGCTCCGGGTTGGTGCAGGTCTACAGGTGATGCCAAAGCGTGGGGCGTTCAGTGGCTGGGAGGTTGGGGGTGGGTAAAGAACCCAGGGCAAAGGGGTGTGGGTTCAGGAGGTGCCAGGACCCGATGGGGGGAGGTGCGTTGGCCTCCAGGTGCCCAGGAGTGGTTCTTCGTGTTCAGTTCTTTCTTTCTGTCTCTCCAGGTGCAGATCCAGAACAAGAAAGTGGACCTCTCCAAAGTGTCCTCCAAGTGCGGCTCGAAAGCAAATATTAAGCATAAGCCAGGTGGGGATTTTACCTTTTCCTCATCGTTTGTCTGCAGAAGGTGAAGTCGTTTATGCATTGCCCTGCAGTACCGAAGTAGTTCAGGGGCTTTGTTGCTCCCAGGCCGTATTTCCAGAAGGGCTGCCTGGGTTCGTAGTGGTTTTGAGTGCAGAGGAGGGATGGGAGATGCCTTACCCTGGAGGTAACCCACTGAAGTGCTTGGATAGGCACCGTGGCTGCTTCTGGGGCGTGGAAGCTTTATTCACACTCAGATTGCTCCAGGGCTGTGCTGGGGAAGGAGCCATGGGAGGATGAGTGCCCTCTGTGCAGGTGGTAGAGCAGCTACGAGGGAAGTGTCAGCCTCCAGCTCAGCAGAGCTCCTGATTTATTTGGGCTCTTCGGTGCCATGTTATGAGATGGGGGTGCAGGAACTGTTTGTTCCCCACTGAGAGCACAGTGACAGCCTCCAGGCACCACGGCTGGCAGCACACTGTGTCTCTGTAGCATCCTGAAGCGTGGCCAGCATGCCGCCTTGTGCTGCTATGGCTCTGTGTGGGGGCAGCTACTGCACGGAGGACTGATGGCAACGGCACATCCGTGTGTGAGGGATGAATCTCAGTGACCAGAGCTGGAAGCCATGATCACACACTTGTGTCTGTGTGCTCCTGGTGTTTCCTTGGCCCTCTCTGCCATCACGATGGGTTGAAAGCAGTTCAGCCGTACGCACAGAGCTCCACAGTTGAACACATCACAGCTCCCGCGTTGAGAATGTGGGGCCTCCAATGTGACCCCTGCTTGTTCAGCCATCTCACGATGAGCTCTGTGCAACAATGCTGCCCTTGTCCTGGGGTGAAGGCAGAGTGATCCATCCAGAGCTCTCTGCTGTCAGAGGTTCTCACTGGTTTGCTCGGTTGGCTCCCACTGTTGGCCACACCAAGGTGGTGCCAATGGGGGAACTGCAGCCACCCATGTTGCTGAAGGGCTGTGGTTGTTTCCTGACCTTCAGTGCCCATCCATCTCCACGTGTGCCCTCAGTGTCCCCTCCATTTCCACCTCCTGCCATGGTGACTCGTGGCTCTGTGTGTCGCTCACAGCGGTGGGGTGGGAATGGGAATGCACAGGGAGAATTTGGGAACCAATCTTAGGCATATTTGCAGCCACCGGATTCTGTGGCATCGTTGCCTGTATTTCTGTTGTGGGCACTTCCACAGTTGGACTTCATGTTTGCATGATGGGATGCTGGGGGTTCCTCTGCGGGTCGGGAGGGGACAGTTTGGGTAGAACCATTCAGAGCCCCCCATGAATTCACTGCTCCTCCATCTTGTCCTAGGGGGAGGAGATGTCAAAATCGAGAATCAGAAGCTGAACTTCAAGGAGAAGGCCCAAGCCAAAGTGGGTTCTCTGGACAACGTGGGACACTTGCCAGCAGGAGGAACAGTGAAGGTGAGTGCGGCGAGCTCTGGTACATCGGCGTGGGGATGACATTTGGATCTTCTCCTTCTCCTGCTGTTATTGCAGCCCAGCCTCTCCACCCCGGCCTTTTATAGCCACCTCTTTCCGTAGCCCGCTGTGAGCCCCAGCAGTATGACTCACAGAGAAGAGCTGTGAACACACTGGCAGCCTGAATGGGTCCCTGCTGTGTGTTACGTGCAGGGCTCGAGCTGCCCCATCACATCCCTCCCCCAGGACCCTTAGCGCAGGGTGTGCTCTGAGCTGTGGGACGTCAGAGGAGCTGTGCAGGACTTCCTCCCCTTCTCCTTTTGCTCCCCAGTGGAACTGCTGAGACCCCAGCTGCTATTGCTGGGAAATGGCACCAGCAGCCCATCCCACAGCTCAGCCCGAAGGCCCTTTGACTGAGGATTTGTGCAGTGTTGCTGTGACTCACAGCTTCTCCCCATGAAAGCAGAACTCAAACTGCCCCCATCCTGAGCTCTGCAAATTGACATCTTCCTTGGGGAGGGGAGGACCAAGCTGTGGGCTTCTGTGTCCCAGAGTGCTTGGAGTGGTGCTGGGAACTGCAGCCTCGTACGTCCACTTGTGCTGCAGCTTCTTTGCCAAATGCTGCTTCTGAATGGCAAAGCTGGGACCTGGCTGTGCCCCCAGCAGGAGGGGGGAGCCCTGGGAGCACCGAGCCCTGCGCTCATCCCAGCATCGCTCCGTGGAGCACCGGTGGGTGGTGGAGGGACCTCAGGCGCTGCTGGGTTGGGCTGTGGGGGTGAATGCTGTTCCAAGAGCTGATGCTGCCCTGGAGGGCAGGGAGCAGTGCTGCACTGAGCCCCATTAACACATGGCAAGAGGTGACTGCTGGGACGCGCCGGGACTCTCCCATCTCCAGTCCTTTGTGGAACCCTCAGACTGACAGAATGGGCTCAGCAAAAAGCTGAAAGCTGCTCTGGGAGAACTGCTGCGTTGGTTGGGACAGAGACCTCAGAGCAGTGATGCATGACTGCTCCCCTTTGTTGGGGTCCCTACCCATATGCTGTTTGCTGCCTGTCAAATCTTAGCTGGTCTGCATTAGTCTCTTTTTTCCCAGTCCCCATTGGAGCTGTGGGTGCCCTGGAGGTGCCCGAGGCCATGGCTGAGCCCTGGGCATCCTGAGCCCTTGGGATGGGGCTGGGGGGTCGCTACCAAACCAGCCATGCTGTGAGTCCGTGGCTCAGTGATCTTTAAGGACCCTTCTAGTACAGCCATCCCATGGTTCTGTGATACAGAAGGTCATGGCCATGCTTTAGTTAGTAAGCAGGTACAGCAGCAGTCCTTGTTCCCCATGGAGGGGCTTTATAGGGCAGGGGCACAGAATAAGAGCAGAGCTGCTGTGAACTGGACGCCAGCAGAAGCTGGTGACTGCAGGTGGGATTTGGAGCAGAGCAGGACAGGGGCTTCTCTAAAGGCTGCCTTCCTGGGCCCAGTTCTTGTAGTCCAGCATCAAAGCTTGGCTATCCAGGTTGGGGATCCACTGCGTTTCCTTTAGGTCTGGTGTATGAATGCATCCAAGAGAGCTGGTGGAAGCCCCTTCATTGCAGGCACCCGAGGTCAGGGGATGGGCTCTGAGCACCCGCTGGGTTGCAGGGAGTTGGGTTAGGGGACCTTCAAGGTCCCTTCCAACTCAAACCTTCCTGTGAGTCCACGGGAGGGGTCGGCTCCACGGAGCTGCACTCATCAGCTCGGCTCTGGGCACGCAGAGCTCTGCCCTCCATCCCGGCTCTGAGGGGGCGCTGAGCCCACAGGGGAGGGCGGAGGGGCTCAGACGTCACCCCCCCGGCGCCCCATCTCCTATTGACCGCTCCTGTCGTCCTCCCCACCCCATTGTTGTCTCCTTGTAGGCTGAGGGCAGCGCGGAGCCAGAGCAGCTCCCGCCAGCCCCTCAGAACGGAGAGGTGCGAGCGGCGCAGGCAGGCAGCGCCCTGCAGGAGAATGGCGTAGGGCCGGCGGTGCCCACTGCCCTGAGCGGTGGTGACCAAAGGGAAATTCAGAGCTTCGAGACTCAGATACAAGAAACAAGTAAGTGCCCGCGCTTCTCATCACGCTGCCGGGGGGTGGGAGAGCACCGGTCGCACCCCGCTGTCCTCCGAGCGTGGAACTGTTTGTAGCGACGGCCGTAGGGCTCCTGCTGTTGTTTTAACTCGGAAAATTGCCTTTTATCTTCCAGGCATCTAACGATGACATTCTGCTATCGTCTCCCGTCCCCTTCTCCCCCTTCTCTCCTCTCCCCTTCCCTCGCCCCCCTCCCCGCCCTTTGTCGCTGCAGATTGAATCCCACAGGCTGACGTTCCGTGAGAAGGCGAAGGCGCGCACCGACCACGGAGCGGACATCGTCGTCGCCTCCAAACCCCCCACCCTCCCCAGCAGCACCTCTGCCAGCGACAGCCCAGCCTCCCCGGCACCGCCGCAGCCGCCGGCTCTCCCCGCCGCGCTCCCGCAGCAAGGCTTGTGACCCCCCGCCCCGTAACGCAGCTTGGCTCTCTTCACGCGGCCTCCGGCTTCACGCGGGACGGGGATTTGCCCAGCGGCCCCCTCCCTTTGGCTTTGGGGGTTTGGGGGTCGGTGCTGTGCTGTCCTGGGGGCTCCGGGGGGAGCGCGGCGGCGGCCGGGCCGAGTTAATAGGGATAAGCTGTGATTTCTTTCTTTTTAAGAGAACCCCCTTTTCCTCCTCGCTGCTTCGTTCCCTGACCCCATTGACGCTGTTACCACACACATTAGGGCTGTTTTAACTGTTGACTTTTACCTTTTATTCTTTGTGACGACGTGTTGATGATGATTTATCGTGCTACAAACCCACACCGAGGTTCCTTTCCTCTTTCCTTAACCATAGCAGAGTAGGGACATTAACCGCTGCTGCAGTGCTGCTTCTTACTGACATATCCAGCAGTCGTAACTTTTGTTGTTGGTTGGTTGTTTTGTTTTCTTTTTTTTTTTTAATATTTTAAAAACGATGGAGCAAATTCATGGGATTAAGCCATGTCCGAAAGCGAAAGGCGTAGGGATGTGTTGAAGGAAGGCTTCTTGGTGAGCAGCTCAGGCAGAGCTGTGTTGGCTGCAGCCGGACGCGTTGTGTTGGTGCCAACCCCGCTGTGCGGCGACGTTGGGTTGGCTGTCGGTTGGATTTTGGCTGGTTGTTGGGTGTTGGTTGGCTGTTGGCTTTTGGTGGTTGGTTGGTTGTTGATTGCTGGTTGGCTGTTGGTTGGATGTTTGTGGGTTGGCTGTTGGCTTTGGTTGTTGGTTGGTCGTTGGTTGGATTTTGGCTGTTGGTTGGCTTTTGGCTGGTTGTTGGATGTCAGTTGGCTGTTGGTTGGCTGTTGGTTGCTGGCTGTTGGTTGGTGGTTGGCTGTTGGTTGTTGATTGCTGGTTGGCTGTTGGTTAGTTGTTGGTTGGTACAGCCCAACTCGGGCTCATTCTGGCTGGAGGCTGAGCACGGGCTGTGCAGCTCTGTGGGCTCCTGGGCAGCTCCATGGCTTTGGGGCAGCTCTGTGGATTTGAAGCAGCTCTGTGGGTTCTGGGAAACCCCGTGGTTGCAGGGCTTGGAATGGGGCCGGGAAGTGCAGAGGGTTTGTGGCTGTGGAGCCGGGGAGGTGAGCTGCTGCGTGAGGCCGGAGCTCCTCGTTCCGTGTTTGCAAATGACACTAAAAAAAAGATGAGATGTAAATAAAAGAAAAAGAAAAAAAAATAATAATAATAATAATAATAAAGCAGAAAAGCCGTTCTTGGGTCGTCGAAGTAATTTAAAGAGAAAAAAAAAAAAGCAAAAAAAAAGCAGAATAATGAAACACTGGGATCAAAGTCAATGGAGGGGAGCAGGCGCCGCCGGGGGCTGCGCGGAGGGGCGGAGGGAAGCTGATGGCTTCTCAGCTTTGTGGGAACGGTTCTTGGGGAAGCCGACAACGACACGATAACCCGGAATCTGTATTTACACACAAAGATTCTTATTGCACTTGTATTTTTTATATTAAAGTTTGCATGATTTCTAATAAAATGGCATTAAAATGTACTAGTTTGCATCCAAGTCGTCTGCTAGTTTCATAAGTGCTTTTTTTTTTTCCTCTGGATACAAATTGAAACGAGCAATGCAGATTTGCACCTGAGCGGGGCGGTTATATATACCTACAGCCCTGCTGCCTTCCTCCTCCTCCTCCTCCTCCTCCTCCTCCTCCTCCTCCTCTTCACCACCTCCCCCCTGTGCCCCCCCAGCTCCACTGAGCTCCTCCTGCCCCTCTGCCCCCCCCCGGCCTCCTGCACACCCCCCAGTATATATCACTGCCCCTCCGCTGACGCTTCCTTCTTTCCATTGCTAAATTCTGAACACCAGAGCTCCATCTCTGCAATCCATCAATACGTATTTTTTATTTCTATTTTTTTTTTTTTTTTTTTTTGAGTTTTTTTTCCAGCACTTTTGGAATAGGGCTGTTGGAAAGAGGGGGCTCAGGGCAGCTCAGCCCCTCCGCCTCACCTCCCAGAGCCGGACCGGAGCGCGTGTGGGGCCGGTGCTGCTCTGAGTCCCCATAGAGGCAGACGTGGCCCCGCTCAGCTCCAGCACTGCTGTAGGGAAGCGATGGCAACGCTGCACTTTATCTTTGCACTGCGTTGGGTCGCTGCTGAACCGCCGCAGCGCTGTGGGTCGCTGTGCTCACTGTGCGACGGCTGCGGTGCCGCTCGGGGCAGCGCTGATGTCGGGAGGCGGCTGCATGCAGTGCGTTGGGTTTTGGCCGTGCATGGAGGCTGCTGGGGGCAGAGCAGGACAGGGAGCGGTGCCTGGAGCTGCCCGAGGGCTTCTGGAACCAAAAGTCTTTTGGGGAGGGCAAAAAAAAATCATCCTGATTACTTTTAATGGAGTTGTGGTTCGACTTTGATGCAACGTGAATGTACGGCCGCGCGGTGCTGAGCGTGGGGCCCGGCGTCGGCTGCAGCGATGGCACAGCGCAGTGCTGGCGGTGGTGGAGATGCTGAGTGCAGGGATGCGCTCTGAGCGCTGTGCCCTGGGCTCGGGGTGGGAGCACGGAGGGGCTCAGAGCGGCCAAGCGGCTGTCGGCCCCCAGGGGCTGCCGTGTCATTGCCGGTGTGGTTACTATGGGCCTTTTTCTACTGTACAAGCAGTTTACTGTCCCGGCTGCGGACTGAATGTAGCGCGCTCTGCTGCCCCTGGGCTCCCCCTGGCTCTCAGTGGTGGCGTTTGGGCAGAATTTGTCAGCAGCAGCCCCCGGGTCTGGGCACAAAGCCCAGGGCACAGCGGAGGAGCGCTCCGTCCTTCACCCCATCCCCACCCGGCTTCCCCGCGGCGCTGCCCGTGCCATCCCTGCACACAGAGCCTCGCTGGCCGCCAGCTGGTGTCTGGGATCCATCAGACACGGGGCTCCTCCCGCATCTCCCGAGCGCTCAGCATCGCTCCGTCACCCCGGGACGTGGGGCAGGATGTGGGGCAGCGCACGCAGACGCATTCGGCCCCATGTGGGGCGAGCGCAGCACCAGGCTCCCGGCCCTGGGCAGTCATAGAAGCCCTCTGCCTCAGTTTCCCCACCCGTGGGGGGGACGATGCGTACCTCACTGTGAGGAGTGCGGGGAGCGTTGGCTACATGTGATGTTTCCTCATTATTTTGTGCTGTACGGAGGTTGTGCTGCAGCTCCAGGGTCGGAGCTGCACAGCAGTGGGGCAGAGGGTCGGGGTCCCCCCCTGGGGGCAGTGGGGCAGAGCTGCTCTGTACCCACGCAGGGCTTTGCGTGTCTGTCTCCTGAGCACCATTTCCTGATTTGATGTTGTGATTCTCTTCCTATTGTAAACGAGTTGAAATAAATAAAGCTTCTCGATGTTGCCCTCAGCGTGGCTGCGTTGTTTGTGGGGGGGGAGGCAGCCGGGGGCCCTTGGGAGGCTTCACCTACAACTCTTTGCCCCATAGGCTACAATGGAGAGCACCCAGCCCCCCAACCCTCCCCAAGCACAGCCCCGCTCCCATTGAACAGAAGGACGAGGACAGAGGCTGTTACTACTCTATCCCTTTTTATTGTCTTTAATCTATGTTGTAAAAAGATCCAGTATCACATAACAGCCACTGAAGTATCCCAATATCACACTAGTTCTGAACCATTTAGACAATAGCTTAGTCTTTTTTTTTGTTTTTAAACCTGCTGGAAGGGAAGAAAAAAAAAAAAAACCAAAAAAAACCCAAACCCATCCTGCCCCTCATACAGGCTGAAAGAAACAAACACTGCTCAACTCAGAGTGACAACCTCAAGCAAGTGAAATGAATGAGTTCCGCACGCTGCGCCCATCGCCGCCCATCAGTTCGCACGGCCGGGGCTGCAGCTCCGCTCCTGAAAGGCCGTGAGGAGGAAACGAAATCGCAGTGCAGAACAAAAAGGGGCCCCGGCCCTGACTTCAGGTACAAAGAGCGTAAGAAATGGTGAATAAAAACAAAACGTGGGCCCTCAGCATCGCCCCTGCACTGCCCGCAGCCCAGCGGCCCACAGGGAACGAACGGAACGAAGCCTCACAACAGCCCTGTGAGGTAGGTGGCACCGACAGGGACCGAACTCCAGAGCTCCTTCACTGCAGTGCCGTCCCAGTCCTCCTCCTGCACAAACGTGGTCCCCGCTCGTACAAAACAAAGGCTCTGTGCCCGTGCTCCTGGCCGCCTGCAGGAGCCGCGCTCGCAGGCACAGTGACAGCGACAGCGGTGTCCTGCGGTGCACAAGGCCAGGGATCCGAGCTCCTGGGCGCGGGGAGGACGAGAAATCATACAAAATCATAAGAACAACGCAAGAGACAAAAAGTACAGGCAGGCCGGGAACAACGAGTCACGTCTCACAGGGTGCCAAGGCACCGCGGATCCCAGGCGTCACCGATCCCGAGCCGAGCGTCGCCGCCGCGTCTTTCTCCCTTGTGCCGGGCTGGGAGCCATGGAGCTGTGCTGCTGCTGCTGCATCCGACGGCTGAGATCCGCATTCCAGAGCTGGAGAAGCTCAGCTCTGCCCAGCGCTGCTCCCTCCCGGCCCTGTGGGGATGGGCAGAGGACGGCGCAGCCGCAGCCTCGTGGTCCAGTTCAGGGTGCGCGGCGCCCATCGGCTTCCATCGGCGCTTCTGGTCCGGGCGGTGCTGCGCTGGTTGTTCCTCCTGGTGACCATGCACGGAGCCGACAGCAGGAGATCAGACAACATTAATCTTCTAGGATGGAGAGAGATGACTTCACAAGGGATAAATAGAACTTTTATTTAAATAAACATTTGTGAACATCTTTATACAAATTACAAGTCCCCACAAAATCCTCCGGCTCCGCCTCAGGCGCCGAAGCTGCCGGGAGGGCCTTTGAGCAGATCCACCAGGATGTCGAGCAGCTGGCTGTGCTGGTGGTGCAGGTCGCCGGGGATGGCCGCCATCTCGTAGCACAGACACGTCTCCACCATCTTGGAGAGCGAGACGCGGAAGTCGCGCAGCAGGCGGATGGTGTAGGAGTCGCCCTCCAGCACCAGGAGGTCGCTGTCCGTCAGGGAGACGGTCGCTCGCCAGCCGTCGTCTTGGTGGGGAGAAGAGAGCGGGTGAGGAGCCAGAATGGTGTGGAGCTGCTGCTCTGCCTCTGCCAGGGGCACCACAGGCACTGCACAGCTCGCAGGGCCTCGGCTGGGCCAAGCCAAGCCGTGGGCACAGGGCAGAGCTCCAGGCTGCCTGCACCACTGGGCTGGAGCCCAACAGCAGCAGCATCCAAAGTGCAGGGGCTAAAGCAGCACACAGCAGGAATCACAGAACGGCCTGGGTTGCAAAGGAGCACGATGCTCATCCAGCTCCAACCCCTGCTGTGTGCAGGTCGCCAACCAGCAGCCCAGGCTGCCCAGAGCCACATCCAGCCTGGCCTTGAATGCCTGCAGGGATGGGGCATCCACAGCCTCCTTGGGCAGCCTGTGCCAGTGCCTCACCGCCCTCTGGCTCAAAAACTTCCTCCTCATATCCAACCTAAACCTCCCCTGTCTCACTTTAAAACCATTCCCCTTGTCCCATCACCCCCCACCCTCACACACAGCCATTCCCCCTCCTGTTTATCCGCCCCCTTCAAGCACTGAAGGCCACCCTGAGGTCTCCATGCAGCCTTCTCTTCTCCAAGCTCAACAGGCCCAGTTCCCTCAACCTCTCCTCATAGCAGAGCTGCTCCAGCCCTCTGAGCACCTCAGTGCCTCCTCTGGACCCGCTCCAAGAGCTCCGTGCCTTTCTTGTGCTGGGGGCCCCAGGCCTGGACGCAGTGCTGCAGACGGGGCCTCACAAGGGCCGAGCAGAGGACAGACCTGCTCCTCCCCACTGAAGCCCAGCCCAGCAAATCCCTCCCCCAGGGCTCACCCCAGGCTGCCCCCAGCCCTGCACACTCACCTCGGACGTGGATGTCCGTGTCAGTCATGAGCAGCACAGCCAGCGGGTGGACCTGGGAGGAGTCCCGCACAAACACCCCTCCGTTGGACTTCACCGCCATGAAATAGGTCAGCCAGCGACTGTACAGCTTGGAGGCCTCCCTGCACAGGGGAGCCCTGTCAGCCATCGCCGGACGCAGCAGAGCCCCGAGGCTCTGGGCCGGTGCGTCCACACGCGTGGCTCGCTCACCTGTTGATGGTTGACTTGTGAAGCAGAACGGTGCCCGCCTTTGTCCGGTACGCGTAGCTGTTGGGCTTGAACTTCCCTTGGCGGGTCACCTTGCCTTGTCTCACCTGGAAGGAGAAGAACACCTCAGGCTCTGCCCACAGAGCAGCTTTGTCCTGGACAAGATCCCACCTGGGCGGCTCCCAGCCAACCTCCAAGAACCGAGCAGCGCAGCCCCGCTCCTCAGAGGAGGATCCAGACGCCCAGCAGTGAGTGCAGAGTGGGGAGCCTGTACCTGGATGAGGTTGGGGTAGAGTCCGGCCATGAGGACTCCCTTGACCAGTTCCTCCTCTTCACTGTACTGGTTACATACAGATGAAGGCATGGTGCAGTCAGATGGCGAGGACACCAGGAAGGCTTCGTAGAGGTTCTCTGAGAACTGCTTGACAAGGCCTGCAGGGAACAGACGGCACTGCTGAACCCTCTGCTCTCCCACCAGCAACGAAACAACCCCAGCAGGGCAGCTCCAGCTCCAGCTCAGCTTGGAGGCTCTGCCTTGGCACCTGTGGCCTCCTGCCGCCGGGGCTGCCTCTGCACTCCTGAATTCCAAAGCCAGGATTCACCTGCAGGCCAATCCCATTTCTGCACTCTGCTTTTCATAGAATCATTCAGGTTGGAAAAACCCTCTGAGACCCACAAGCCCAAGCCCACCCTGCCCACAGTCCTGAGTGCCACATTTCCACAGTCCTGGTCACCCCCAGGGCTGGTAACCCCCCCCATTCCCTGGGCAGCTGTGCCAGCGTCCAACCACTCTCCTAGGGAGTAGGAGTTGTTCCTAATATCCAACCCGAACCTCCCCCTGTTGGAACTTGAGGCCGTCACCTCTCATACTATTGCTTCTAGGAGCAGAGGCCAAACCCACCTCACCCCAACCTTTCAGGAGCTGTGGGGAGCAGCAAGGCCTCCCCTAAGCCTCCTCTGCTCCAGACCGACCCATCCCACTCCCTCAGCCACTCCCCATAGCACCGTGGCTCCAGACCCCTCCAGCTCTGCTGCCCCTCTCTGGACACACTCCTGGCCCCCCACGTTTTTCTGACAGCACGGGACCCAGCACAGCACTGAGGTATTAAACAGGAGCAGTGCTTCAGCAGGCACGTGGGACTCACCGTTGATGAAGCGAAGGCTGGGGCCGTACAGGTAGTAGTCCTGCAGGTAGTTATCCCTGGCACGGCTGTCTCTGCGTCTCAGCACCTCCTCCCAGCCCGCCACGGCTCTGACAAAGGCGAGGTGATCGCTCCCGCTCTCCCTGCTCAGAACGGCCTTGGCCTGGCAGAGGGACGCAAGGTCAGCCAGGCGACAGCCCCTCTCCTGCCTGCTCCCAGCCTCCTCCTGGAGGTCTCCTCACCTTGTCCACCTCCGCACGGTTCTGCAGGCTGCTGCTGAAGGGGTCCCGGGTGAGGCAGGAAACGATGACGAGCAGAGGGTGGAGGCAGCGGTAGATGGATGCCAGGACGATGGCCTTCGCCAGCCGAGGGTCTGTGGAGATCTGGGCAAGGCGTTTGCCCAGGGTGGTGAGGGCTTCTCGCTGGTCCAGCACCCCTGCAACAGAGCCGCACGCGAGGGCGTCAGCAGCAGCTCCAAGCAGGAGACAAGTGGCAGCCAGCTGCTTTGGGGATCTGCCAGGAGGATCTCAGTGCTTGGATTATTTGGTGTAACTCAATAAAGCACGCAGCACGGGGGCCGTGGAATCTCAGAACGGTTGGGGTTGGAAAGGACCCCGAAAGCCCCCCAGGTCCAACCCCTGCCATGGGCCCAGGGCCCAGTCACAGCCTCAGGCACCTCTCCAAGGGCGGGCACTGCAGCTTGGGGCGCCTCACCAACTTCTGAGTAAAGATCTCCCCTCTCCTTGAGCAAAGCAGTGCAGGAAATGAACCAGCACCACAATGTGTGCAGTTGCCATCCTTATCTGGGGACAATCCTGCCCAGTCTGTCCCACAGGATCCTGTGCCAGCTCTCACTTCCCACATTCAGACAGCAAACACGTTCCCATCACACCCACACCAGGACATTGCATTAGCTCACCAATTTCCTGCAGCAAAATCACTGCTTCATCCACAGCTTTGATGTCAGGGCTGTCCAGAGCCTTGGAGAGAAATTCAACTGCCTGCAATACACAGAAGGAAAACAAAAGGCATGTTTCCCAGCACATGGAAAAGCCTCCGTGAGCCCACTGTTCTGCCTCGGGGCCATGAGTTCCCCTCGTTTCCCCTACAGGGACATAAGCACAGTCCTCTCCACTCACGCACAGAGTCTAGCTCTAGAAATACTCTGTCATCAAAATAATCTCTGTATTTTCTGGTCTTCTCTGGATAACAGTGCATATAGGGAAGCAGGAACTAGAGCCATCAGCACTGGATTGAGGCAAGAGCTCATCTCTGGAGCGGGCCCCCGGCATGCTGGTTCAATTGGCTGCTTACTGTTTTCTCTGGCATGTGGATCTTGGCCTGAACCACCAGGTTCTCCAGCGGGGTGCGCAGGATCTCTGGCACCTGGTATGTTGGCATCTTGTCCAGGCGGCTGCGAGGGAAGAGGTGATAGGCAAACCCCGACTGGCAGCGGCCGGCGCGCCCTCGCCGCTGCACCACGTTCGATTTGGACACCCAGACTGTTTCCAGGCAAGACACCTGGAAGGAGAAGGATTAGATATGAATGCTCCCACAGCTCTGCCCAGTACAGCCACAGCCTTCCATCTGTTCTGCAGACCCCGGGAACTCCTCACAACCCACCGACCGTCCCGCTGAAGGGCAGGGGAAGCCCTGTCATGCATCCCAGCACTGCCGTGCTCCAGCGAGCAGCGGCGCAGAGGCCTGAGGCACTCAGCACACGGGTGCCATCAGGATGCCATCTGCTGGGTGCCCGCCCGGCCTGCAAAGCTCAGTGCTCCCCTCGGCCCTGGTACCTTGGTCTTCAGGTCATAGCGCTCCTCCTTGTGCGTGCCACTGTCCACCACGTGGACGATGTCGTTGATGGTGATGGAGGTCTCAGCGATGTTGGTGGCCAGGACGATCTTCCTGACGCCAGGCGGAGGCCGCTGGAAGATGTTCTGTTGGTCCATCATGGGGATGTTGGAGTGCACTGGCAGGGAAAAGCAGAGTCAGCCCTGCCCTGCTGAGCTGCTTTGCTGCACGAGGACGAGGTGGCTGGCACCACCAGAACATCATCCCATCCCTTCCCCAGTCCTTCAGCTTCCCCTTTTCAAAAGGTCTGAGGCAGGAGATGGATAGCCCCATTGCTGCCTGGTTTCACTCCATCAGAAATGCATGCTGACAAGAGCCCATAACATTTTTATATCCTGTTTTCCATACTACAAATCAGTGACAGAGAGATTTCCAGCAACTGCACAGAGCAGGGAAGCACAGGAACGTGCAGTTCTGTCAGAGCACCTGCATTAATCAGCAACTGAGCTGTTCAGAGATGCACCCCTCTGACCTGTCTGACACTGAATGCAGAAGACTGTTAAAGCAAGAAATCCAAAACAGAACAAAAATCTTTCAAGCTTTGCAGGGAAATACTGACTTGTTCTGTATCCCAGGAGGGAAACCTAAAACATGACATTCACAAGTAGAAGGTGAGCAACAGACATCCCACAAAACAGTCCTGAAGAGCTCTTCTATCAAGGCTCCAGTGACACAGAATGCATCAGTCTCCTCCTCACCTAACTCTGCACTGCCAGAGGCAGACAGGAAGGCAGCTTACCTGATCTCACACAGGTTTGGCCAGCCTCTGCTAGGAGTTATTTGTGCTTTGCACGCACTCCTCATACATCAGAGCACACAGACTCGCTCTGTATCTACGTGCAGCTGCTGGAGTGGTTCATGCAGTCAGCTGCCCCTCTCCTGGCTGCTGGGGAGAAGCCTGGCCCATCTCACCTGGCAGGACGAGGTACCGGCTGTTCTGGGAGCCCAGCATCTCCAGCAGGCGCTGCTGCACCCCTTTGATTTCCTGCCACCCGGGCAGAAAGCAGAGGATCCCACCTGAAACAGAGCAAGAACACGTGGCGTGGGAATGCAAGCATCCTCCCCAGGTGGGGACACAGAAACTGCTGCTGCTGCACAGACAGAACGTGCCCTTAATTTCCCCTCGGTCCAAGAAACCTGCAGGGCCCAGGGCTGTGATGCCCACTGCCAGCTGATCACTAAAGGAACTGCCATCGTACTTCTGAACAAGGGACAGGCACAGCCATTGAGGGCAGCCCACCCCAGCACCTGCTGCATCCAATTCTGTGAACTCATCAGGACAGAGCTGAAAACCAAAAAGGAACAAGGCTAGCTGCATTCTGGGAGTGAATGCCTTCTAACAGCCTTAAAACATTGAAAGCCCTTAGAAGTAATCTTAGAATACTGCCTTCTTTACAGCCCCATCACCTCTTAGGGCATGGCACCTAGTGGGGATGGTTCTGCAGTACAGGAACGTAACCAAACAGTGCAGCACAGGCTGGTGCACCAATGAGTCCAGCACATCAGCCCAGCAACTGCTGGACCTCGGGACACAACGACTGAGGCACCAGTGCAGGATCAGCACCCAACCCAGCCCCCAGAGACCCTTCTGGACTCCAGAAATAAATCTGAGGGACTGCTGTGAGCACTGTTCACTTCCTCTGGCTGAGACGTGGAGGACTCAGATGTTGGCTCAGTCAGAGACTCAGAGTGAGGTCACATCACACTGCCTGCCACCACTCACTGCAGCAGGAATGCAGGGTGCTCTGGCAGTATTTTCTCTGCCAGGGGTCTGGGCTCTGCAGATACCATTTCTTTTTTTCCCCCAGGAAGAGTAAAAGGGAAGGGGGCAAAACAGAACCTACCTGGTTCTCCATGGGCGTCAATCTGGAGTACAAGGTCGGTGATCAGATCAAGATCAAGGACACATTCATCATCTGATTGCTGGATAAAACAGTAAGCACAGCAAGGTAACGTTTTGATACAGGTACTAAGGGAGCTGACAGGAAGAGTGTCATCCCAGCTCTGCTGTTTGTAAATAGAGAAGGTTTCACGGGTGAAGTGATGAGTGGTGGCTGCCTCAACCACAGTGATCATGCAATGGCTGAGCTGAAAATCTTGGGCGATACGGAGAAGACAGGCAGCAGAGCCACTGCCGTGGGCTGTAGGAGAGCAGGCTGCTCGAGGAACCGGGCAGGAATGGGAAAGGGGCCCCCACTGGTGGTGGAATTTGAAGAGCCATCTCTTCAGAGTGTGTGAACAGGCAATTCCAGCGTGTTGGAAGCCAAGCAAGCAGGCAGAAGGCAGCCTGCTGAAGAGGGAACTCCTCCTGGAACTCAGGCAGAAAAGCAAAGCGTGCGGGCTTGGAAGCAAGGTCAGGATATACAGAAGGACTACAGAGGTGCCCTCTGCCTTCACAGGAAGAAACTCACATGGCCAAAGCTCCGAACCGAAGCTGTGATGGATAGTTAGAAAGAAGTGGTGCATTCTTTTGTTGTGTTGATTTTTACTTGATAAAGTTGGCCATCTCCAAGCAGGGATAAGATAAAGCAGACATTCAATGGCTTCTTCACCTCCACCTTAACACCAACCCTGCATTGGAGCACCACAACCTAGGAGTGATCAGCTCCCAGCTGACTTGATTTACTGCTGCAACTGAATGCAGTTAGTCTATGGACTCCAATGGGATTCATCCCAGGGTCCTGAAAGGCCTCTCTGTTATCTGCTGCCAGTCTTAGGAATTTGGTCAATCCTGGCCAACTGGAAGCTTGCTCACATTACTCTGATCTTTAAAAAGGGCAAGAAAGATGATGGTGGCAATCAGTACCTGAAAACTTCTGATGGCTGTTCTAGGAGTTAGTGAAGAAACACTTGCAAGATGCCATCAGTCAGAACCAACATGGGTTCACAGCAGACCAGTCGTGCCTTACTAGCTTTACAGTCTTCTATGACAAGGTTCCACTCCCTTCTTTTCACCCACCAGCTATGGGCTACGAGGTTTCTGGCAAAGCTTTTGATAATGTCACAGTATCCTTGTAGACAAAGGGTCCAGCACACAGCCAGACACAGAGCAGTGATGGGCCAGGCTCAAAGGCTTCTAGGGCACACTGCAATGTCAGCAGCCAGGCTCTGCAGGGCTTCATTTTAGGGCCAGTTCCCTTCAGTACTTCACTCAAAGACCTGGACACAAGAGCTGAGTGCACTGAATAAATTTCTGGATGATACTGAACTGGGAAGAGCCACTGATTCCCTTAAGGGTAAAGAGGCCTTGCAGAGCAGCCTGATAGAGTGCTGGGCAATCACCAAGCATGTGAAATTAACTAAGAGCAAACAACCAATTCTACAGCAGGGATGCAGTCATCCTGGATGTACACAGAGCCTGGGGACAAGTGGCTGGAGTGCAGCCCCTCAGAAGGGATCGAGGGGCTCTGCTTCACAGTAAGCTCAATAGGAGTCAGCAACTTGCCTGAGCAGCCCAACGGGGCAGGAGTGTCCTGGGGGGCAGCAAGCACAGGTAAGCTCACTTGATGAGGTCAGTGATAGTGGTCACACTGCACTCAGCACTGCTGTGGCCTCACCTCAAGAACGGCGTGCAGTACTTTGGGATCCACAGTATAAAGGATATAAAATATCAGGATGTGTGCAGAGCAAGGCAACAAAGAGTGAAAGGGTTAGAGGGCACAATTTATGAGGAGCAGCTGAAGACACTTGGTCTGCTCCACTGAGAGATTGAGGGATGACCTCACTGCTGTCTGCAGCTTCCTCAAGGTGGGGAGCAGAGGAAGTGCTGATCGTTGGTGGCAGAATGAAAGGGAATGGCTCCCAGCTGCGTCAGGCAAGGATCAGGACAGATACTAAACAAGAATTCTTCACTGAAGAGATGGTCAGGCACTGGGACAGGCTGCCCAGGGAAGTGGTCACAGCCCCCAGTTTGTTGGGTGCTCAAAAAGCACTTGGACAACACTCTCACATCTACAGTTCAACTCTTAGGTTGCCCAGTGTTGGACTGAACGATCAGCATGGGCTCCTCCAATTCTGGACACTCTGTGGTCCCAGGAGGACACGTGTGGAGCAATAAGCAGTGATCCAACAGAAAGGTGCACAGATTCCCAAAACATCTTCTGGAGAGAGCAAGTGCCTGTAGCTGGATGGCCTCCCCAGGAGCAGGAAGCTCAGGAGCCTGCTCTGGCTCCATCTGGCACTTGCTCCAGTCACAGCACTGCCAGCTTCCTTTGCTGTGCTGTGATTATTATGCATTCTCTTTCCTGTTCTCCAGGCTTGAAAGCTAGCTGACACTTGGGAACCTGGGAACCTGAATAGCACCTCATAAGTAGCAACACTTAAGGGAAATTTCATGGGACAGAAGTATGCCATGCGTACCCCAGGCCTTCAAATCCACCAGGCACAGAACAGCAGCTTTTATGTCTCAGTAATTTGGAACAAGTGTGTCAGGCCAGTCTAAAAGGAGCAGGGTAAAAATCTCAGCCACAGCAGAAACAGGAAGGTGGCCCTGAAAGCAACGGGACACCCTCAGCAAATCTGCTGATGATACAAAGCTAGGAGATGCGGCTGATACACCAGATGGTTGCTCAGACACAGACAGGAACTTCCCCAGGCTGACAGAAACCTCGCGTGGTTCAGAAAGAAGAAAGCCAAAGTCTGCAGCCTCAGGAGCAAACTCCTGGACAGGCTGAGGGCCAGCTGGAAAGCTGCTTAGAATCCTGATGGACACCAAACTGAACACAAGCCAGAACGAGCTCCAGCTCCCCAGGCTGCACCAAACACTGGCAGCAGGTTGGCAGAGGTGATCCTGCTCCTCAGGTGAGCACACAGCAGCCAGGTCTGGTTCCCACATGAAGCAGAGCCACCAGAGCGAGTCCAGGGAAGGGCCATGAGATGATGAAGGTCTGGAACATGCCTGCTGTGAGGAAGGACAGAGAGCCTGGAGTAGAGGCAGCTTAACCTGTATAATTATTCAATGGGAATATCCAATATTTTCTAATGAAGAAGAGGGCTCTTCTTGGCAGTGCCCACTGACAGGGCAAGAAGCAACGGGCACTTATTTGTGCAGAAAATTCTATTTAAGCACAGGAAAAATCCATCTTTACTTAGGGAGAGATTGAACACTGGAGAAGCTGCAAAGTATCTACCCTTGGAGATGCTGAAAAGCTCCTCCTGAGCAGCCTGCTTGGGCTGACCATGCTCTGAGCAGGGGGGCTGGCCTAGAAGAACCTGCAATGGAGGATTCTTCCAATCTCAAGCACTCTGTGGTGCCACTGAAGCGAGGTTACCTGCAGTACAGCCCTGGAGGCACTCTTCAAAGAACAACGTGGAGCAGTCAGAGCAGTTGCACAAAGCAGCCATGAAGGAACCGAGTGCTGCAGGACGACGAGTGCCCGCTAACACGACTGCTGCGAGGCACAGCCATCTGGATCCTGCACCAGACTCTCATGCTGCACACACACAAGCACACGGAGCTGGTAGCTTACTCAGACACACACACCAAAGAGGGGAAAAAAGCAACTTAAACCCCAACATGAAGCTGCCTTCACCCATAACTTAACTAAAACACAAGGGATACCGCTAAGCTGAATTTAGCTCGTGAGTGCTGACTTGGAACGAAAGCTAAGCGAACACTGCTCACAAACAACAGGAAGGAGGGACCAGTTGCAGGCCCAAACTCTCCCCCTGCTGATATGCCAAAGCCCCTCGTGCAGGGGGAAAGAGCTTCAAGGCCACGCTACACACATACCCACCTTTATCTCGTAGTGCCGGTGTCGGTGCCTACCCAGCTTGGCCAGGATCTCCTCCAGGTAGTACTCCTTCACTGGGTACATGAAACCGGGCACCTTGACCACAGGGCAATCCCCAAAGTAATGGGAGAAGCGCTGATTGTCTCCTGTGGCGCTCATCAGGACCAGGCGCAGGTCGGGGTTGAGCTTCTGGATGCCTTTGAGCAGGATGAGCAGGAAATCCGTGTTGACATCTCGTTCGTGGACCTCGTCGACCACGACGTGGCTGACACCCTCCAGACTGGGGTTTCCCTGCAGCTTCCGCAGCAGGATGCCCACGGTGCAGAAGAGCAGGGCTCCTCCCCGGGCCGGGGGTTTGCTCTCCAGCCGCACCTGGTAGCCCACGTTCTTCCTCATGTTGGGACCCAACTCCTGCGCCACGCGCTGGGCCACCGAGATGGCGCTGATCCTCCTGGGCTGCGTGATGACGACGTTGCAGCGGGCGCCGCGTCCCTCCAGGATGTAATGTTCCAGCAGGAGCTGAGGGATCCTCGTGGTTTTCCCGCAGCCCGTATCTCCCGCTATCACCACCACGGGGTTCTGCTCGATGGCTGAGAGGATGGTGTCCTTGTGAGGGTCCACGGGCAGCGGGTGGCTCTCCTGCCACGAGGATCCCCTCCTCTTCCAGAGGGCCAGCAGGTTCTGACTGAGGCGCACTTCCTCCGCTTCCAGCATAGGGATGTACGTCTTCCCCGTGATGGCGTCGCTGATGGCGCCCGACTCCTTGCTCAGGTTCATCATGTCATCAGCAATCCGGGGCCTGGACTCCCTGATGTCCACCGGATACTGGGAGAGATGGAGCAAGTTGTGAGGGACAGATTGGGGACAGTCATCAGAAGGAGAAAAGAAATAAGTGCCCAAAAGGGACTCGGTCAGATGGGTTTTGCAGTGACCAAAAAGCTGCATTCAAATCTCTTTAGACTTTGCGTAACTCAGCCTCCTAATTCTCACTTTAAATGACCTCAACTCAGACTGCAACTTGAGCAGCTCCCTGCAATTTCCTTATTGTGTCTCCTAAAGTCCAGGTTAGATATGAGGAGGAAGTTTTTCCCCCAGAGGGTGGTGAGGCACTGGCACAGGTTGCCCAAGGAGGCTGTGGATGCCCCGTCCCTGCAGGCATTCAAAGCCAGGCTGGATGTGGCTCTGGGCAGCCTGGGCTGCTGGTTGGCGACCTGCACACAGCAGGGGTTGGAGCTGGATGAGCATCGTGCTCCTTTGCAACCCAGGCCATTCTGTGATTCTATGATCTGTCCTGACAGAAACACTAACACCAATGTGAAACTGACAGGCACAGAACTGTACCTTACACTCTCCAACTCAGTGTCTACACTGTATGCAAGTGATGCATCCACCCCAGAAACCAAACGTTTGATACCATCAAGTTGTCCCACCACTCTCCTCACACTCAGGAAGTCCAGACAGGTAACTTGCACAAAATTTAAGTGCTTAGCTAGGCCAGAAATATTCAGTCCTGGTTAAATTAAAAACAAACAAAAAAAAAGCCAAACATCCCACAGAAATAACTAAAAGGAGCAACAGTGGAATTGTCAGGAACACAAACCAAACCATAGACCCAGATGTTCAGAGGATTAAAGGTCCAGCTGCAGATCAGTAGTTCTGGATTCAGGCTTCTTCAGAGTCACAAAAGCAAGCCTTGCATGCACTGTGACAGCTCACGGCACGTACACATGGAGGCAGACCAAGCACTCACAAGATGTTGCTGTTTTTCTAACTTTTCCAACCCTTGATTCAGCCACTTAGAACAGCTCACTGAGAAGCAGCTGCTGCCTTAGGCACAGGCTTGGCTTCCTAACATTCTCACCACTGCTTCATTTATGGTATCTGCAAAAACTGTAAACATCCCAGAGATCCACATCGTGCAGCTCCAAAGCGCATCAGCGTGGCACAGCGACCACCGGTCACCTTCCAAACGTGGGCACTACTTCCAATGACTTCAATTAGCTGCAGACTTTATACCTGTGCCACACTCATCCTCAGCTAACCTCAGCACTAACTCCTGCTTTGATGATGAATGCTCCCAGGGAACCCCGTCCTGCCCCCAGGGAACGCTGCTTCAGCTCCTACCAGCCTCCCACCAGGGAGAGGGATCTCCTGGGTGAGCACAGGCAGGTGCTGGGGGACCTGCACCCACCACTACATTGCACATGCTAGAAGAGACACTGCCAAAGGAGATCTGCAAATTTACCAGCAGCTGGCCTTGTAAAGGAACAAAGCAGAACCAGTTTTAGGGAAGCAAGATCTGCTTGTAACAAAGAATCCAGAGAAGGCCCGCTGCACATAAAGGGTCTCCTTTCTCCAAGGCTCAACAAAGACTGATCAGTTCTGCAGCAAAACACTGAGCCATAAACTCCCCCAGCACCACGACACAGAGTTCCCAGCCAGTGTACAATTTCTGAAGTTAAAGGTGATCAACCAAAGGCGGTTCTGAGCCTTACATGATTCAGATAGTTCTCAATCTTACGCAGGGTTGCTTCAGGGACTTTGATGTGGCACGGCTTCCTCTGGTTCTCACCAAGCTCCCGGAGGGAAGTCATGTTATACATAGCATGGCTGAGTGGGTTGTTGTTCTTGTCCACCAGGCCAAGGCTCTGAGAAGGACAAAAGCAAAGAAGAACATCAGACGAGATGGCTGCACGCGTCATGACAACAGAGATGGGTCCAGCAGGTTGTGATGGGCTGACTGCCCACCCTGCAGCCCCAACCCTTCGTGTCCTGCTTTTACCAGGGCAAGGAACAGGACTCGTTCCTATTGCAGAAATGGACACGTGGAAGCAAAAGGCTTCACTCCCTCAGCATGGTGCTCACAAGGTCTCAATAAGACCCGTCAAAGAAACCACAGCCACAGCCATTAGTGACAAAACCCTGCTGGCATGGGCTGTTAACTCTCCTGCTGCAGTCCTGGTACGCTGGGACAGCTCAGTACCAGGCCTTATGCTGTTTTCCTGGACTTCCTCTGACAGCTTTAGAGTCCACAGAGAAACCTAATGCAGCCATGTTGCCAGATGAGCTCATCTATGAGAACAGGAAGGCAGTCTGTCCCAGCAGACACCGAGGTGTCCAAGAGAGCAACACTTTGAGAGCAATCCCCACCCATCACTTTGTTGAGAGCTCAAAACAGCCTTAAAGGGTCCTCACAGGTTTGATACCAGAGGGGTACGACAGCAATTGGGATCGATTCCAGAGGTTTGGAAATATAGGTTGACTGGGTATGAAATCAGAGGTAAGGAAGTTTCACACGCCATCACATCAGGCTCAAATACGGAGAGTCAGGTGCAAGGAGCATCTCTGTGTGACAGGAGGGAGCCGTGTGTGCTTACCTTCAGCTTCTGACAGGCCAAGGCTGCTGCTTTGTTTTCTGCCTCCACCTTACGACGGCCCTTGGCTGCAAAAGTCATGGGACAGGGCCAGCGCAGCGTCAGCTTGCAGATCTTGGTCTTGGTGCCAACCGTACGGAACTGCATGTATTCCTGAAGGGTGGGAGAGAGGGGGGAGAGCCTGACACAGGCTGACTTTAAATGACACCCTAACACTTCTAAGCAGAGTGTTTATTGCACAGAATTCCAGATGCCCCATCCCTGGAGGCGTTCAAGGCCAGGCTGGATGTGGCTCTGGGCAGCCTGGTGTGCTGCACACAGCAAGGAGTTGAAACTGGATGAGCATCGTGGTCCTTTGCAACCCAGCCATTCTATCAGCATAAATTCCACCTCAAGCCCATAAGTTGAGGCAAAAGTGAAAGCAGACAGCTGTGTGGAGAAGAACGTGTCTGACAGCACATGGGATGGAGCACAGCTAAGCACGTGGGGTCTGGAAAGGAGGTGGGTGACACACATCAAGGAGCAGAACTGCTGGATGCTGGCAAGAGCCGAAGCGAGGAAAGATTCCACCAGCGCAGAAATGACACAGTTCTGAGTAACACAGACTTGTATTTGGTGCAGACATTAGAGGAAATGCCAACTTATCTTAGAAAACAGACTCCTTCATGCAAACAACAGCTCCTCTATTGCCTGGACCTCAAGTAACAGCATTCCTGGTGCTTCATCTCCTTCTCTCCCACCAAGACTTCTCCCACTCTTCAGGCTGACTTTTGTCAGCCTCATTAACCTCCCTTCTCCCCCCAACATCCAGCTGCCCAAAGCAGCATCCAAAGAGAGCCCAACTGGAGCCTCAGAGCTTCCTCACTGCAGGTCCCAGGGCAGGGAGCAAACAGCACCTTACCTTGACTGTGGAGGAAGAGGTTGCAATCTGAATCACTTGGGCCAGGAGGTTTTTGGGAAGCGGGAACTGCGTCAGAGCACGGATGGCAGTGTTGTCATCTGTCATTTCAATGGAACTCCCTCCTCGGCTGGATGGAAGAGAACAGTTTGATACACCAACATCCCCTCTCTGTCCTCAGAGCCACCTCACCTCAGGGCTGCTGCTGAGTACAGGTAACCTCAGTCACCTGATCAGGCTGCTCTTACTACTAAAATCTGTCAATTACAGAACAATCACCCTGAGCAGCAATTAAAACATTACAGCAGTATTACGAACCAGACTGAATAAACAGCTTTTAACTGATTAAAACAAAAAAAAAACAAGGCAGGGTTAACTTATTTCTGCATCCAACAGCATTCCTCAAAACAACCATCACCACCACCAGGACCCTACTGATTTTTCTCTTGTTGACTACTTGAAATGTAAGATTTCTGCTCATAAAGTCAAGCAAGCATGGCGATGAAAAGGAGCAGACTTAGCATTGCCCCCAACATTTAGGGGATTGGAAAAGGATTCCTACCTGCATTGCTTCTGGACATAGAAATCTCTTTAGGCCCAGGACACCAAAGATGGCACTTGGGCTTTCCATTGTGAAAACCATCAGGCACAAGGTCAGGCTGCCTCACTCTCACATACAAAACGGCACCACAGTCAGTGCTGGGTCCACCTGCAGGGGGTCCCTTGAGGGGTCTGGAACACAGGGCTGATGAGGAGAGGCTGAAGGAGCTGGGAATGTTCAGCCTGGAGAAGAGGAGGCTCAGGGGAGACCTCATTGCTCTCTATAACTTCCTGAAGGGAGGTTGTGGTGAGCTGGGGGTCGGCCTCTTCTCTCGTGTCATTAGTGATAGGAGCAGAGGGAATGGTTTCAAGCTACGGCAGGGGAGATTCAGGCTGGACATGAGGAAGTATTACTTTTCAGAAAGGGTGGTCAGGCACTGGAATGGATGCCCAGGGAGGTGGTGGAATCACCGAGCCTGGGGGTGTTCAAGGAAAGGCTGGATGTTGTGTTGAGGGACATGGTTTAGTGGGAGCTATTGGGAATAGGTGAACGGTTGGACTGGGTGAGCTTTTAGGTCTTTTCCAACCTTGGTGATTCTATGATTCTATGATCAGCCACAAAGGAAAAAAATCTCTCTACTTTACTGCCCTGCATCAGCAGCTGCCTGGCAGACTCACCTCGCATCTCTGCCAGGAGTTCGAGCGTCCTGATGCGCCATGGGTAAATAATCGGAGACATCGATCGCCTCTTCTTCCAGCTCTCCCTCCTCCAGTTCCCCTTCCTCCAGCTCCCCTTCCTCCAGCTCTTCTCTCCTCATGGCTTTGGCCATCCTGCCCTGCTCCATGGGCTGGATGGGGTCGTCAGGCTCCATCCGCCGCCAGCAGGTCGACAGGTCGGCGAGGGAAGGGCCGGACTTGGAGCGCCATTTGCCCTCCGAGCACCACCTCTCATCGGGGCAGCCCAGCTGGTCAGCCAGCAGCCGGTACTTGGCAGCGTCAAACAGCTCATTCCTGGGCCCCAGCAAACCCCAGCCCTACCAGAGAGACACGACAGTTATGGAGCAGCGGTAAAGAGGCAGAAAGGTGACAGCAGGGAGCATCACCTCTGGTGAAGGAGGGAAGGGCAGGAGCGGCTCCTTCGCGTCACACAGAAAGGGAACTTAGAGAATCTCAAAGCTTTCCTCCAGCCACACTTAAGGAAGGACATTCGTACACCAAGCTCCCTCCCCAAAGCACAGCTGCCTGGAATTCTGTATCTCCTTAGTAAGGCTGGGCCAGGATCTATTGGTGTTTTACAAGGTTTTAACGCATTCAGCACCTTTTTGTCAAGGTCTTACCAGACCACTACAATCCATTCCACCTTTAGCTCTCAGAGGACCTCCGTTAGATAAGGCTGTATCACTCTGTGCTGTAGGAGTGCCTAGCACAGCAAGAATTCACTTTGCTGCTGTACTCAGAAGCCATATTCAGATGCCCTCTGCCCCAGTTAACAGTGCCACGCTGCCCGCATTGATGACCATTCACTTAGAGCAGCACTGGGCCTATTTCTACAGCTAGGACTGCACAAAGCCTCCCATCACCAGGTTTTCCTGTTGGTTTCAGCTCTAGCTGGCACATCACACGGCTAAAACTTTGCATGCTTAATCTATGGTTCCAGGGTTAGCTGGTTTTTGCTGTTAGTTGGTTTTATTTGTTGTTCATTTTGGCTTTGTTTGCTTTCTAGTTCCAAAGTGAGAAGAGTTCAGTGATTCCCCAAATTTACAAACAGCATACTGCAACTGTTTCCCTATGAAAACTTTCAGGGTTTCAAAGACAGCCAGAAACAGTGCTTTCACTGAGTGCAGAAGAACAGGGCTAAAACAACCACGTGTTCAGTGAACATGAACTGAATGGGCACCAACTGTGCTGCAGGTACAGCCAACCAGAGGAACAAGTTCTGCTAATCACAGGATTCAACAAACCAGCTGAAGAAACTGCTGGCTTTAAGGCTGCAATCCTTGAGATCTGAAGGCTCAGCTTGAAAACTAAACAGTTACTTCTAAATGCACGTTTCTTGGTCTACAAGCAAATTACAAGTTCTCCTGTTGTCGGACCACCTGCAGCACCTCCTCCAGGCTCCTTAACAGGAAGCACTGCTCCTATTCGTGGATGAGAGGGAAACTCCACACAGGCCAACTAAGAAGGTCAACAGGCAAAGACAGAGAAATTCAGAAGGGGTATCAGCAGAACAGGCAAGGCCTGCATGCTCAAAGGCTCGTTTCATCAAGTTATGGAGGAAGAACAAAAGCTCACCTTGAAGAGCTGGCACGCAGCAGCTGCCGCTTGTCTCTCAGCATCAATCTTCTTGGTCCCATAGCCTTCTACTTCCACATTCTTAGGCCACTTTATGTGCAAAGTGACTTTCTGAAATGCAAAGAACACCAGAAGCTGAACTCTGCCCTTTTAAAAAACCATCCCACATCCAGAACTCGTTCCACTCCCAGCCCTGCTGATCTGTAGCTGAGTTTCTCTAAGGCTCAAAGAGGATATGTCCAAGGAATTCTCTCCTGTTGCTGCAGCAAAGATGAAAGTTACGACCTTGTTGCTATCATGGAAACATGGTGGGATGACTGCCATAACTGGAACACCACCACTGAGGGCTACTGGCTCTTTACAAGGGTGAGGTAGGAAGGGTGGGGGAGTTGCCCTCTACATCCAGGAGTGGATAGACTGTGAGCAGCTCCCTCTGAGAAACAGGCAGGAACAGCTTGAGAGCCCGTGGGTTAGAGTTAGGTGTGGGACCAACAAAGGCCAGCTGGTGGCAGGCAGAATCTACAGGCCACCTGACCAAGGGGGGTCTGTTGGCAAGGCTTCCTTGCTTCAGATGTGTCGTGCTCACAGCTCTCGTCCTGATGGGGGCCTTCAACCACCCAGAGATCTGTCAGAAAGACCACACAGCAAGCTGCAAGAGGCTCCTGGAATCCCTTGATAACCTTCTGGTCCAGGTGTTGGACAGACCAACCAGAGGTGAAGCGCTGCTGGACCTGCTGCTCACCAGTGTGGATGAGATGATTAATTAAAGGCGTTAAGGTTGGAGGCAGCCTGGGCTGCAGTGAGCACAGCCTGGTCGAGTTCGTGATCTCGAGGGATGTGGCACCAGGTCCTGAACTTTGGGAGTGTCAACTTTAAGCTGTTCACTGGACTGTTGGCCGAGATTCCCCAGGATGCTGTCTTTAAAAGCAAAGATGCTGAGGAGAGCTGGCTGCTCTTCAAGGATGCCTTCCTGAGAGCACAAGAGCTCTCCGTCCCTCTGAATGAGAAAGCGGGCAGAGGAGGCAGGAAACCAGTGTGGCTTGGTAAGGACCTGCTGGGCAGCTGAGGGCAAAAAAAGTGCAACAAGCTCTGCAAACAAGGCTGTGTCAGCTGGGAAGAACACAGGGATGGAGTCTGGACTTGCAGACGTGGGATCAGGAAAGCCAAGGCAGAACTGAACTTGGCGAGGGATGTGAAAAACAATAGGGAGACTTTCTACAGGTATATTGGGCAGAAGAGACAGGCCACAGCAAGCGTGCCTCCTTTGTAAATGCAAAAGGAGAACTGGTTGCAATGGATGGAGAGAAGGCTGAGGGACCCAATGGGTTCTTTGCCTCGGTCTTCACTGGCGGCCAGGATTCCAGTTCTTCTCATGTCCCTGAGCCCTGCATCCCTAAACCTCCAGGTGGGGACTGGGGCAGTAAATCCCCCCCACTGTGAGGACAGAGCAGGTCTGAGACCACCTCATGAGACTGAATGTGCACAAGTCTATGGGCCGGGTGGCTGCAGCCCAGGGCTCCAAAGGAGCTGAGGTGGCTGCTGAGCTGCTCTCCATCATATCTGAAAAGTCGTAGCTGTCAGGCAAGGTCTTGGGTGACTGCAGGAAGGGTCAGGTCACTGCCATGGACAAGAAAGGGAGCAAGGAGGACATGGGAACTACAGGCTGGTGAGTCTCACCTCTGTGCCTGGGAAGATCGTGGAACAGATCCTCCTGGACGACATGCCTGATCACATGAGGAATGGGTGAGTGATCTGAGACAGCCAGCATGGCTTCACCACGGGAAGGTCGTGCTTGACCAACCTGTTGGCCTTCTGTGATGGAGTGACGGCATCAGTGGACAAGGGGAAGGCGACTGATGTCATTTAGCTGGACTTGAGCGAGGCCTTGGACACGGTCCCCCACCACATCCTCATCTCCAAATTGGAGGGATGTGGAATTGATGGGTGACCACTCAATGGATAAGAAACTGGTTGAAAGGCCGCAGACAGAGGGTGGTCATCAATGGCTCTGTGTCCAGGTGGAGGCCGGTAACAAGCGGCGTCCCCCAGGGCTCTGTCTTGGGACCAGTGCTCTGTAACATCTTCATCAGTGACAGCAATGGCAGAATCGAGTGCAGCCTCAGCCATTTGCTGACAACACCCAGCTGAATGGCGCAGGCGATGCGGTGGAAGGAAGGGATGCCATGCAGAGGGACCTCGAGAGGCTGGAAAGGTGGGAACAGGTGAACCAAGGAGGTTCAACACAGCAAAGGGCAGAGTTTTGCTCTTGGGCCGGAGGAATCCCAGGCATCCGTACAGAATGGAAGGAGCGGTGCTTGAGAGCAGCCCTGTGGAGAAGGACCTGGGGGTCCTGATGGATGAAAAGTTGATTGTGAGCCAGCAGGGTGCTCTTGTAGCTTGGAAAGCCAATGGTATCCTGGGCTCCATCAGCAGAGGGGTGGCAGCAGGGACAGGGAGGTGATTGTCCCTCTCTGCTCTTGTGAGGCCCCACCTGCAGTGCTGTGTCCAGGGCTGGAGCCCTCAGAACAAGAAAGACAGGGAGCTGTTGGAGAGGGTCCAGAGGAGCCATAAAGATGCTCAGAGGGCTGCAGCACCTCCCTGCAAAGACAGGCTGAGGGAGCTGGGCTTGTTCAGCATGGAGAAGAGAAGCTGCGGGGTGACCTGAGTGCAGCCTGCAGTGCCTCAAGGGAGCCTGCAGCCAGGAGGGGAGTCAGCTCTTGGCAAGGGGAGATGGCAGCAGGACGAGGGAAATGGTTTGGAGCTGAGGGAGGGCAGCTGGAGGTTGGATGTGAGGGGAAGTTGTGTGCTGTGAGAGCGGTGAGGGGCTGGAACAGCTGCCCAGAGAGGCTGTGATGCCCCGTCCATCCGTGGAGGTGTTGGAGGCCAGGTTGGATGGGGCCCTGGGCAGCCTGGGCTGCTGTGAAATGGGGAGGTTGGTGGCCCTGCATTGGTGGGGGGTTGGAGTTTCGTGATCCTTGAGGTCCCTTCCAACCTGGGCCATTCTGTGATGCTGTTGAGGTGGTGTTCAGGTCTGCTGGAAAAGCCCCACCTACAAGGATCTGCCTCTCAACAGCCTCCACCCATCTGCCTACCTGCAACCTGAATCTCATCTTACCCCAGGAAATTGCTGCATGTTTGCTGAGGGGCTCTGCATGAAGAGGCAGACCTGCTGAGGAAAGAGCTGTCTCACAAAGGCCAACATACTCTGAGCTCAAAAAGAAGCCTTGTCCTCTTCCAAACAAGACTTCCCCACTTTGCCTCACTCGTTCTGCCGTCTCTGCACTTTTTCAGCACAGGCACTGCTTATGGCATTGCACAACATACATTAGAAAACTGCAGTACTGCTTGAGGAAAAGCAGGCAATGCACCCACAGATAACAAAGCAACTCTGAAGTACCCATGGCAGGGGGTTGGCACTAGATGATCGTCCTGGTCCTTTTCAACCCAGGCCATTCTATGATTCTGTACCCATTCTGATGCATCGCCTAAAACAGAGATGCTCACAAAAGATGAGGTCACAAAAACCGCCTGGGAAATTTTAAGATAGAACATTATTGGAAAATGTGCCTCTATGTGAACTGAAATCCTGGAATGGATGTTCAACTTCAGCTGGAAAGGCTGCCCTGCTCTGCAGTGGGAGGGCTGGGGCTGTGTGGCAGAAGGAGCTGAGCCCTCAGGACAGCTGCTGCATTCACAGCACAGGCTGGGATGTGAGCCCTGCACCAAGGAGGGCTCCGACTCTTTGGCAGAACATCTGCCTGGAATTGCTCTCCTTCATTCAACAACAACAAACCCTGGGTTTCCCTTTGCCCTTAATTGTACGAGAAGCCTCCCTCCGTTGCAAGCAAATTCTCCTTTTCTGATTGCAATTAAACATTTTAGGCTTTCTTGGGCATTTTCTCTATCAGAACATAAAAACAACAAAATCCAGCCCTGCTAAGGTCTGAAACACAGCCCTTTGCTTTCTGTTTCTAAGGCGGTGGGTTACACAGCCCAACACGCGTGAGGGCAGACTGTGCACCTTCCTGCTGAGAACAGCAAGGAAAGAATTCACCCTTCCACGTTCCAAAGGAGGGACAGGATTTACATCTATGCACTACTAAACCATGTGAAAATAGAGAACAGGGAGGGAGAAAACCTTCAGTCTGAAAGATTATCCTCCAACTACCACGTGGAATTAAAGCAGTGATGTCATTTTCTCCATTAAAGGCTCACTTCCAGGTGTAGAAGCATTCCTGGCTCACTCTCCCTCCTGTGCACCACAGCTGCCATCCCCAGCACAGCAGGCTTACCTTTTTTCTGGGCCCGTTGGTATGGATGTACACCAGTTTGTCCCTTGCATGGGAAATGCCCAAGGCCCGTCCAATCACGCTATTGAGCAAGTTCTTGGGCTGTGGGAATTCCTTTAACAGGTCTCTGGAATCTGGAAGGCAAAAACCAACAGGAGATGTAAATGACTTCAATCCTCGTGCAGTCCTGTTCCAGGCGTGCTGCAACACCAGAGCACACATTTCTCTGAGCTCACAGACAGCCCAGCAGGCACAGGTATTCAGTGGTGCACATCTCCAGGCATCAGGAAATGGTGCACAGCAGGACGATGCCTCCTGAGAGCCAGATACAAGACAGCACTGCACATCCACAATGCCCAACAATATTCTATCTGCAATGCTTTTCCTGGAATGCAGAGGTTTGCTGTTCCCCCCACCCCTTCCAAAATAATAGTAATACTCCCTGCAGCACCCACACAGCCTGACTCTGTGATTCAGAGACGCTAAGACCACTCCAAACTGCCATGGCATCGCTTCCCCATCCCCTAAAAAACACTAACAACAGGAAAACTGACATTCTGAATACACCTGATGGATCCCGAATGCAAATATCCCAGCACAGAACTCAAAGCCCAGCTCAGTGCAAGGAGCCAGCGCTGTTTCCTCACTATGAAGGCAGAGGAGGCTCTGTGTGTCACTCTTTGATGTCCAAACCCAACCGAGCAGTAACTGGAGCAGACTCTGATGTCTGCATGCACCCCTGAAGCACACGCATCACCCCGGGGTTACAGCTGGGCTCTCAGCCCCACACACTGCACGTTAGATCCAGTCACCACACATGGAAGAGGTGAAATAACACAGTGGGGCTTCCTGCTGCATCTCGAGTCCCTTCTGCTCTGAAGCTCTCGCTTAGTGGCTGGAAATGTGCTTTGTATAACACTGCTCACTGGTTCAGCTCCACGCCTTGGTGGTTAAGTTGCAGCCCTGGTCTGCCAGAAAGCTCATCCAGAAGAGCAGAGCACAGTTATTGCTGGGTTCAGAATTAAAGCCATCGGCTGCACAGACCTGCAGAGCCCCAGTGGCAGTGCCAGAACTCAGCAGCAGTTGTGGAGCATGCACTGAGCGCTGCCCTGTGGCGAGCAGGCTGAAGGATCACCAAGCAGAGCCAGCACAATGTCCCAGAGTCCAAGTTCCTGCACTGCCTGCTCCCTGTCACTGAGGGAGATGGGGACTGGCAGCAGAAGCACAGCGAGAGCAGCCCCCAAACGGAGTGCTACACAACCACCCCTGCTGCTGGAGCAGGTGGAGCACCGAGCCAGGAAGGAGCAGTGAGCCACACATGGCTCTCACAGCTACCAGCACGTCCTCCTGAGAACAGCAACCGCAGTCACTGTAACAGAGACACAGGGACTGCTTCCAGCAAGCACTGAACAGCTCTGTCATCCCCAGAGCAGCTGCACGGCACAAGAATACTGCAGGGAGCTGTGCAGCACGAGAGCTCACCGGGAAGCAGAGCAACACAGACAGCATGGGGTTGTAGTGAAGGAGTTACCCTGCACCAGAGCTTGGCAAGCTGCAGGTTAAGGTAGAACAAAAACAGTGCTCCTCACGTAACCCACTCCAACAATAACAAAACTGATCCGGGGGATACAAAAAGACCCATCACTGCTGGCAGGTTTGACAGTTCTTCCTCCAAAGTGCACAAGAAGAATGGCAGGGAAATCGTTTCCAGAAGCCAAGAGGAGCAGGCAGTGCAGGAGCTTGGGACTCCATGCACACGCTGGGACACCGTGCTGGCTCTGCTTGGTGATACTTCAGCCTGCTCGTCAGTGGGCAGCGCTCAGTGCACACACCAGGACTGCCACCTGCACTGCCACAGCAGCACACAGCATCAACGAGCTGCCACTGCTCTCCATGGGTGACAGTCACCACAGCATCACTGACAGCAAAGCCCTCAGGCTGCTGTTTCTCACTCACAGGTGAATGCAGCAGCAGAGCAGACGTCCCTACACCAAACCACCTCCTAAGTGCCACCTGGACAGCAGGAGCCAACACGCTAGCAGCCAATTCCCTGCAGCTGCACAGCAAACACAGAGCAGCATGCTGTCAGTGCGCCCCACAGCATCACCTGCTGAGCAGTGACTGAAATCACAGCCCTCCTCGTGTCGATCCTGATTTCCAGCCCCGGACACACGGAGGAAGGAGCAGCAGCACGATTCCCATGCGTGCCATTAAATTCACTTAATAAATGGGAAATAAATAATAACCTCGAGCAGCAGCCTGGATTATTTGGCCTCCGGTTGCTTCCCCTTTCAAGAAGGATACCCCGAGGAATTGTGTGATACGGAACAGATGGAGGCAAGAGGGACATTGTTGGTAAATGCCCAAAAAACAACTCGTTGACTTAAGGACTGAACCAATCTCTCAGATTCTGAGGTGACTTTGCAGCGAGGACCAAATACTGAAGTCATCCTCATGCAAAGAACAGGATCCTTAAATAACAAAGCCCAGTTCTGGCTTGCAGATCAGACCCTGAATTGCCAACCCAGACACAATGTCTTCTCCCCAGCTGACAATGCCATATTCAGCAGCACCATCTGACACACCAACAGCACTCCGAGGTTTGATGGATTGCCCTCAGCCCATCCATAGCCTGAAATCAGAAGCTGAAAGGATCTTTCTTTGCATGAAGCCATGCCTCGCTCACAGCTTGTAAAGAAACAATTCCCAAACTGCAGCAGTGGATTTGCAGAACGTTTCCTCCCCTGACAGACTGGATTTCTTGGCGCCTTCATCCACAGAACTCACGGATCCCGACTGCTGAGAATGGATATTTGGGCAGGAGCTCCATTAAAAGGAGTGCAGCTTAATACTCCCAGAACAAAACAGAGCCGATTTGCAGCCCAGCTCCAAGCCAAACCATACATGATGTCTTTAACCTCAGTTCCAAGCTCACGAATGCTAAAAGTCTGCCTTGGATAACAGACAAATCCAAAGAAGCCAATTAACTGATTTCTGTTCTCTAAGTCAGAGAGCACTGGAGCCTAACTTGGCTGTGGAAGTCAATGGTAACTCCAAGTAACGCTGAAAGAAGAAGAAAAAGCAAACAACTCCTGTGTGTAATGTAAGCCTTCTGTTACCCTTAACAGACCCGACACAAAGACAGCACCAGGTACATCAGGAGCACAAACAAAATGCCCTGTACTCTCACCCAGGCAAGACAGAGGAGCATTAAATCCATTTCAGCAGTTTCTACCTTCCCCCAAATTCTCTTCCCTGAAGAAGCAACAAACAGAGCATCCCTGGAGAAGCAACAAGGAGCAGCGAGGACAAACTGTTCAACACAGCACCCAGCAGGATATTAAGATATTCATCAGAGTGAAGAATGCCCCCAGTACATCAACAGTCTACATGGAGAAGAAAGCTGTGTGGCCGTGGTAGCAGTTCACAAGGAAGTGGACCAAGTGTCAGGACCAATCTAACAGCCATTTAAAGCCGGCCTCAGACTGCAGATTATTTTTCCATACTGGCAATGGTATCCACAGCTAGTAACAACAGCAATCACGTGTGGATAGCCAGCAAGGTACCAACTTGTTGAACGCACGGCACTTGCACTTCTAAGGTTTTTAAAATGAATTTTATCATTCCTGTACCTGTGCGGGTAGGACAGGTGCACAGCAAGACCTTGGGGATGGTTCCATTCACTTATCTCACACAAAGCAACATGGAGCTGCTGGAATTGGTGCAGAGGAGGCCATGCAGGAGATGGAGCATCTCTGCTATGGGGCCTGGCTGAGGGTGTTTAGCCTGGGGAGCCTTCCCTGCTGCCTTCTGGTACTTACAAACAGGAGGGAGGATGACTTCTTCCTTGCTCTGATAGCGACAGGACACGGAGGAATGGTTTTAAACTAAAACCATCCACAAAACCTTCCAGATAAAGCTCTGCACAGCTCCTGCAATCGGAACTACGAACCCAAAGAACTCAAAATCACAGAATCACACAGAATCACAGAATCACAGAACCACAGGGTAGGACCGAGCTCTGCAGATGCTCCCATCCAAACCCCCGCTAACAGAGGCTCCTCAGTGAGCCGCACAGGAAAGCATCACAG